GTTCTTTAATTTTGCCCCCTTTTTCTTTTCCTTTTTTCCCTTAATAATGGTAATTTCCATTAATTATTATTATTATTGGCCCGGTTTTTTGGCCCGGGATGGAATTTTTATTACAAAGATTGTTTTTTTTTTTCGGGGTTTTCCAAAGGGATTTTTCCTAAAAAGTTTTTTCTTAGTGGGGGATTTTTGGGGAATTTTTAGTTTTTGGGGCCCAGTCCCTTTTCTTTTTCTTTTTCGGTTTTTTTAGGATTTTGGATTTTTAAAAAAACAAACACCATTACCCTTTCCCCCGAAAAACTTCCTTTTCTCCAAAAATATGTTAGTCCAAAACCTAACCTTTTTTTCCCCTCTTTTGGTTCTAAAAAGGGTTCAAGGGGGACCAGCAAATATTGGAGTAGGAGTACAGTTAATTAACCCAAAACCCCCAGGCGAATTTTTTTTTTTCCCAACATTTTGGAAAATGGGAATTGAAAGAGGCTTTTCCTTTTAAGGGGGGGGGAAATTCCGTTCCCGCCGGGGGGGGGGGGGGGCAGTTCATGATCGGCGTGTACCATGAATTTCTAGATGATAGCGCTACAGCAATTTCGGCACTAATAGAGTTCATGGACCGTAACTGATAGAGAAAGAAAAAGAAATGCAAGGAATGCACGGTCCTAAACCCCCAAGGGAGGACGTCCGACCCGGAGGTCAGAGCAGCCACAGCCGGCTACGAGCTGCGCTCTCGCGGCGTGCAGCGTTGAAACTTCATGCTCTCGTATCATACCGGTACGGTAGTGGGCTGATAGCTGCCTATTCACAACGGGGGAGCCGGGAGTCTTGGTTGTGTTGTCTAGGACAGCAAATGCTACGGCAGCAATTAATTCGATTTCGGAGGAGAGTTGGCCTTCCTCTTGGCCAGTTTATCAAGATAATCCCTTAGGGACTTGATTAACTTCAGCTGGGCAGTACTCGTACAGTACTCGTACCGGTAGCCAATACTAGTGTTGGCTCTACTATCGATATTGCTTTTCAGTAGGTGCACTGTACGAGTACAGTACTGTACCCTACTGGGATGAACAACAGGGGTGAAACAAGGGAGAAAACTTGTGCTATTGATCGCAGGGATGAACAGGACATGTCAACTACTGTACTCGAGTACTCTACCACCCACCCCATGCCATCGCCAAGCACAACCAGCAAACTACGACCTCTCTCTCTCCCCCATCACCACCGTTTATTTTACCCCCCTTTCTTTTATAGAAAGGGTTCTGAGGGGTTGGATCTAAGCGAGCTTCAATTTTTATGATAGTATGTTTTTTTTATTTTATTTTTACCACCAAACTCCTTAATACCGGTCTTTAGTGCACAAGCGCTCGGGGAGACGTTTTTGTACGAGTACAAGACTGGGATAGTTAACTAGCAAAGTAATGCCTGTCTTGTACGAAAACATCTCCCCTGGTACAGTACAGTACTTTGGTACCGGAATTTTCCTTCCTTGAAACATCATCTTCGCTAATAAAATGGTGAGTGGTGGGTGCCGAGATTGAGTAACTCTTGGCTCATGAGACAAGCAAGGCTGCCTGCCTCAATAATCGGGCCAAGAAATAGGGAGAAATAATTAAAAAAATAATAGAAATAGCCATTTGTTCTGCTTTATTTTCACGATTTTTTAATGGCTGGATTCGCCTCCTGGAGAGTTGTCGAGCGGATGTCCTGATGTTCAAGGGTGGTAGTACTGTACTAGGGTACAAGGGTAAGTCTGGCCCGGTAGTACCAATGTCTTAACCTTTAAGACATTGTTAACTAAGCAGAAACTAGGGAGGAAACAGGACTCACGCATACAACAAAACAATACACGCGACAAGCAACCTTTACCTGTGAAACCATACCTCGAACGGAGAAAAATGAAAACCAAGGGAAGCCGTGACCTGCAGCCGGTTGGCAAACGGCATATGGAGACGACTCGAGATGACTGTATCAGAATCATCTCATTACGGGAAAATGCTGGTTGGAGTTGGACGAAAATTGGGCAGGAGCTCAAAATTGATCGTCGGACTTGTCAAAAGGTCAGTACTAGAGTGTATTATATTGAATTGATTTATACTAATATCAATGTTTAGATCTACAAGCGAGCGAAGGAAAACAGGACACCCTCCAATTCCATTCGAACCGGCTGACTGTCACGAACGTGGCTTAGCGAGAAAAGGGTTTTCACATGACACATGGTTATGAGTCACAGGTATGTTATTGTTTCGCACATATGACCTATTCGGGTTATATGATTTGTTATGTGTGGGATTTGTGATGCTTTCGCACATGGCGCAAGTATGAGTCATGGGACATGCGCCTGACGAGTATGCCTTACGAGTGTGCCTTACGGGTAAGCCTTGCGCATATTATTTATGTTTCGCACATGACCTCATTATGATGTCATGGGTTTTGTGCATATGACTCAGTCGAGTCATGTGACTTGTTTATTGCGTTATGATTGGTTTATGAGTTTTGCACATGACCTCGCTATGAGGTCATGGGTTTTGAGCATGTGATCACTTTGGTCACATGACTAGTTTGTTATGATTTAGTTTTGCACATGTGACCACTTTAGGTCACATGACTAAAGGCGGGAAGAACACTATATAAGGAGGCCGATGCGGCCGAGGAAGATAGGTTCTTCATGCTTTGTTCTAAGTACTTTTCCTACTTATTACTTTAAACAAATATAAAACATCTTTACAATCTTTATCTTTATTCCAACGCTATTATTACGCCAAGGGAGGTGCTTTACGAAGAAGAGTTAGAGAAAGCTTATGATAGGCGTTCCCGGTAGAAGACAAGGGTCTTGTACTATCGGTAACGTAGGCAGAGGCCTAGAGCTATCGTAAGATAATAGAGAAGAAGAAGATACGAAGAGAAGTATTGTTCCCCATCGCCAAGCACTAACTATCTAGAGAGGGATCGTTACACCGACCACCAATTTTTACAAAAGTTGAAGTTGCCCGACTTGTTGTGTTTATTACACGTGATGCCTATACGCGAAGGCTCTCCTGGGATGCAATTGTGATAGAGATGGGTTACTCCTGCTCACCCAGAACTGTGAAGAGAGTGATGGAGAATCTTGGGTATCATAAGTGGATACCACGGCGGAAATTTAATATCCAACCCGCCAACAAACCAAAACGTGTCGAATAGTGCCAGTAGAGACTCCATTGGACCTATGAAGAATGGAGTAGAGTGCTGTGGACAGATGAGTCGACATTTTCGACAACTGGGTTTGGCCATCGCCCATGGGTGATTCGACGCCCTGACGAAGAATATCATATAGATTGTATCGATGAATCTTTTGAGCAGGGAAGAGAGTCTACTATGGCATGGGGTGGATTTTGTGGTTCTGTCAAGTCAGAATTGGTATTCATACCTGGGGAGGTGAAGATGGACTCTGCTACATATGTGGAGACTGTGATGGAGCCATATCTTGTCCCACTATGGCATCAGTGTTGTGAGGAGTATGGATGGGTACGAGTGATAGAGGATGGAGCGCCCGGGCACAAAAAATATGCAAGGATTTATCGTGAGGTAAATGGAATGGACACAATTCAGTGGCCGGTCCAGTCACCAGATTTAAATTTAATTGAAGCATTGTGGCTTGATTTGGAGACTGAGATGGGTGAGACCTGGGGGTGGGTTGGGAATATTTCTACTTTACAATTGCATTTGAAGACAATCTGGCAGCAGATTGGAGCTGAACGGCTTGATGGACTTATCCGGAGTATGCCTGATAGACTGTCCGCTGTTATTGCTGCCGAAGGAAATGCAACTCCCTACTAGACTTTTCCTACTGTATTTCCTGTTCTATCTGTATTATAGGCCTAATAGAATGCTATCGCCGGACTTTTGTCCTCCATACAAAAATATTACCTCTTGGCACAGATGTGAAGCTACTTTGGTTTTAGTTCCTATCTTTACCCCTGCTCATTGCACCATATGTCAGTTACCATATCTGGGTATCGCCCGACTTAAGGTACCCCCCGAGTACAGCACTCGGCGATGGTATGCTGTGGCAAGTCGACAAGTTTACCCCCTGCAATCAGTGGTATTTCAAACGTTTGCTGTGGAAACTGAGATGTTCCTGTTGGAGCGTATGGTGGCTTACCGTTACCAGTGTTGCACCTCGAATGTGATAAACTGGTTAACCAATGCAATCAGCTCCGGTACCGGATGCGCATACTGCATTGTAAGTTATGGTGCCGATGACTTATTGGGTTCCCATCCTAAGACCACCAATACCGGTACACTACATGACGCTCCATCTGCGATGTCGAGCCGATATATGTGCAGCGAGCGATTGTGGGATTGAACATCCCCCCTCTCCGAAATCGTGGAGCCGCAAGTATAACCTGAGATTGCTTTTGTGATAGGATCTGTTGATATGACGGTATGCTCGCGGATGAAAATCCGCTCTCTGAACTGCCCTGCAGAATATGCACCCCCCCTCTTCCGTCAACTAGTGAGAGGAGGACGCTCATCAAGGAGCCTTTAAAACCAAACACCCTCTCTAGGTCACTTCGTTGGGCTGTAGGGG